TGAATTTAAAGCATTATAGACGAACTTAAAACAACCTTTATTGATCAAAAAAAAAAAACTAATACGAAATAAATTTGCGGTTTTTTTGTAACAAAGAAACCGCTCATTGGGATACGGCAAATTCTTTCTACAGTTAGGCGATTGTTGAAGCGATTTGTCGCGTGACTGAGGAATTGGACAGATGAATGTGACAGATGAGACAAAACTCTGCAGCCCAGCTCGTTCAACCTCTGAAATATCCACCCGAACTTTGGTTGGACATTGCTGTTGACAACAATTGGACTCATTCTGACCTGCAAGTTTGCATTCTGCTTGCATTTCGTGATTTGCTAAGAATTCTTCGCAAATATATTCGGTCGCATTCAGAAATTCATATTGGCAGCAAATGACCGATTGCTGACGACGTCTCTTTTCAAGCAAAATGAACTTTTAACAATGCTTCAGCGCTTTTCCACCGCTCAATCATTGAGTCATTTCTCCCGAACGAAACAATTCAATCGAAAAATGCTCGCTATTTTGTATGCATGCAAGAAAGAGACTTTCAGGCACTGCGATTTCTCGATTATCGATCTATCGGAAGATCTCTGACATTGAAAATTCTCGGGTAACTTCTTCTGTAGTTGTTTGAGAATGGAAGTGGACGATTACTATCAATCGGTCAGTCTGATGACCGATTATTATATTCTTAATCTTCAAAATTCCTCCTCTTCTGAACCATTTCTTGCTATTAGCAAGTCAAATGCTTCGTTGATATTTTGTACGAACCTAATAAAGGACATGTGCTATCTTCGAATTTTGGTAACCTTTAGAACGATCAGGCAGTAACCAAGCAGTCGATTTAAAGTAAATCAATTTTTTCGCCTTATTTTTGATTTTGGCATTATATTCCCTTTATGTTACTTTTTTTAGCATTGCTAATTGATTTCAAATTAAAATCAAAAATTTCGCTGGAATTATTTCCCTTTTTTCTTCAACAACACTTTTTTTTTATTCGAATGAAGTGCATAAGAAAACAGCGTGTAATAACTCATTAGCGAAAACAAATGAGCATTAATTAAAATGATATAAGTATGGCCATATATATTTAAAAGTATATCCCAGCAAAGCTCAACGATAAAAAACTGCAATTATCATTGCGACAGTCTAATATTTGCTTCCATAATGGAAGTGATATTAGCAGATGATAAGAATTGGGCTCAACAATTCCCAAAACTATTTTCACATTTTCGGTCATAATTTTGTTGAAATATACTCGGGAAATTTTTGTCACTTTTCATCTTGTTGACCAATTCACTTGGCTCATTTTTCAGTCCATACCTTCCATCATGCTGTAAATCTCATTTTGAACTTTTTGTTATCCCACCTAATAAACATTTCGAATATCCAAAGAAGTGATTTAATTTGAAGAGCAAATTCGATTTTTATAATGATGCAAGCAAATTTGTTTAATATTTTTAGTTCAGAGGACCAAAATTTTCTCACATCAAAATTTGTCCTTGCTTGGGTTATTTTATGGAATTGCTTTCATTGCACTTTTTTTTTCAACGTTTCAACATTTTTTCCATTTTTTTCTTCAAAAAGTTTTTCAAAATTTTGTGATAAAAAGTTTTAGAAATTTCCAATTCAAGAACGTAAAATGAAATGAGCAAGAATTTAAATGGAATAGTTATGCGTCATATCAGATAGAATTAAATTAGAGTTAATTAAAGTAGAACTCTTGACAAGCAAAAATTTGAAATATTCTCACGTATATCGCACGGAAATGAACATACTTTACATTTTCCTGCACAGTAATTCAACAAATTTCTATTTAATTCAAACTTTCATTCAACCTTCCGACATTTTTTTTTTATCATTTAATATATACACACATATATTTATGCAAACAAATACAGTCCACTATCTTCTTTACACAACAAATAATACAATATTAAAAGACGATGATTGGATAGATTGGACCAAAATAAATTAAAAATCAAATTAAATTTTAATGGATTGATTCCAAAATAGCAAACTGTACCTTTTCTTGCAAATCAAATTCTCATGTTTGAAAATTCTGAACATAAATTATGGAATTTCTTGGAGGGAAGCTTGTTGAAATGAATGCGTGCAATGAATTAAAAAACAATGCCGAGCTTTAACGTTTCTTGAGACCTTATCGTTTCATAGTGCAGCCGTATGTGCCTCCGGGAATTTTGGGTGATGGAATTGGTGGATGTCGCGGGGTTCGGGGTGATGGTTTCTAAATTAGCTTCAATATCAAGCTGAATCTGTGAGTGAAGAGAAGACGTTATGGAGAACAAAATCTGTTTGTTGCAAGTCGTTAAGTACTGAAAAACATTTATCTATCTCCAAAACTTGAAATTTAAAAAGGAAAGGCCAAAGTTTGAAAAAATTTAAAGGAGCGTATTCGTCAATGGGAAAGCCAGGGATTTTCGGTGTTTACAGAAATAAATCTTTGGAAAGCGAGAGAGAATGAGTAAAATACATGTGTTGCTGTATGCCGAGAGATTGAAAATATTGGAAAAGACGCATTAGCTATTGTGAGTCGAGAAAAGGATTTGTCAAAGTGAGATGAAAATTAATTTGTGCTTTTCGAAATTAGGCGTATTTTTGGTTAATCTCTTGTCTTTAAACATTAAGTCACTAATGATATTTTTTCGTTGGTTTCTGAATTTTTGTGACAGAGTTGTTATAGGTGCTTTTGGTTATTACTTATATATAAAAAGATAGAAATATTATATTTTCAGACCATCAAGAAAATGCGTTTTCGAGGTTGGGGTCGCCGTGGTCCAGCACCGCTTTTCCCACCTTTATATGGACCGCCACCTGGTGCTACACCTTCAGGACCAGTATTTGCATGCCGACCAATGTCGTTTGATTTAGCACTCTGTGAAGCTAGCTTTCCAAGGATCAAAGAATTGGATGATACTGATTTAGCACAAGTACTGTATATTGCTTTTGCTCTTTGCTATATGGTTTAATAATTATGTTTTTTTTTTCGTTGACTTTCCTGCTGAGATATTTGGATATCATTTTAGGCAATAACCAAACGACATCAGGAGATTACGCCGACACCAGTAGAACAAACTGCAGTTCTTGGACTTATTTCAAAAATCAAGGCTGCGATTGAGAAAATCAGCGCTGCTCCCGATCTTTTACCCTCTGTGGTAAGCTGCGCTTTTGTGATGTAGAAACAAAAAATGTTTGCTAAGAATTAGATGATTTCAATAAAAATTCTATAATATAAGGATATTTTGAGAGCTCTGAAGATATCGTGGAAGATTTTGCTTGCAGATTGTAATAGTTTTGTGAGAGAATACATGGATTGTAAGCATATTAGATGTGTGCTGTTGACTCTGTAACTTTTGGTTATTTTCAGACCGTTGAAGAATTTCGCGAGGTTGGGTCATTTCGAAAAGGTACTATGCTTGCGGGTCATAATGTTGCCGACATTGTTGTTGTATTGCGTTCGCTTCCGACAGGTATACTTAAGCCATTTTTTGAAGTTAGTTTGTAAATTTTTAACTTTTATTAAGCTTATGCATATGTAGTCCGTTACGGGCACAGCTGCATATTGAATGTAGTAGAGCATCGACGTTGACTTTCAAGGTTGCAACCATTTAAGCGTTGTTTTAAATATTGGTAATACTTACTTTAGTAGAAGCAGTATCAGCATTGGGGCAAAAGATTGTTGAAGAGCTGAAAGCAAATGATAAGGAGGGTTCGTTTGCTTTTATTGTATTTTACTGTTTTTGAATTTTCTTGTTTTATTTTTTGTCATTAACGTAGGAATTATGTGTTTACTGTTCAGTACAACACATCGGGTTGTACTTTAGTTCTGATACTAGCTTTAATTTTATGATTTCTAAATACTGGATTTGACTTTCTCTCTTTTTACACTTTTTGCTAGAAAATATAATTTTCCGATACTTAGTAAAATTTCTAATTTCAGTATATGGCTGTATTTCTCGAGATTTCGGCTGTGAGTTAGCTGGGCCAAATGCGATTGTGCGATTGTTGATAACTACAGTTCCGTCGAACGCAAAACTTCTCGAACCTGACCTTCATTGTACAGTTTTTATGCTTCAATTAGTTTCACTCATTGGAATGTGAAGATCAAAATTACCGTTACTAATTTAATATCAATGAGTTTTTGGAATTTTTTGTGTAATTTTATGTGGCAGTTAATGAATGCATTTTTAAGTGAAAGAGAGCATAATGATCTCACACATGGCTGCCCTGAGACATGCTCGATGGTTTGAAGAAAATGCGTCAAATCCAACTATTAAGGTTAGTAGGATGATTGAGTTCGTAATATTGTATTGATATTATTTTCCTTATATTTATTATTTGTTCAGATTTAACTATCTCTATTATTATTCATAATTTGCAGATTTTGATTCGTATCATGAAAGATATTCGCAACCGTTTCGATCAGTTAAAAGACTTAAGTGTTTGGAACATAGAATTAATTGTATGCTTTTTTAAAGTTTTCCTAAGAGTTGTAAAAAATTATCTTATGTTTGGCTTTAGTTCCAAAAAACTATTAATCTTCTGTTCCTAAGCAAGATTGCATTCTTGAATAACTTCTTTAGACACTGGAATAAAGAAAAGGGGAAATTGGAACTAATTGCAATTACTATTTCGCAATATTTTTCTTTGCGCTACTTTATTTAGTCACATTATGCGGTAGTGAATACGGCATCGCAACAACCGCTTTCGGCGAGTCAAGCATTTCGACGGTTTTTCCAACTTCTTGCTGCTGGATTGTTGCTTCCTACTTCACCGGCTCTAAGTGATCCTTGCGAGCAGGCTCGGCGTATCCATCAATCGTTAACTTATGAGCAAATGGTTGGAATTGATGTTATTCTAGTGATTTAGATCGTTATTTTTTTGTATATATTGAAATCATAGTAGTTTTCCTTGTAATTCTAAAGTCTTTAATCTGAAGATCTTTTTATTTGATGTTTTTAGTCAAAAAATAGTATTTCATCATTATTTTTTATGTTGGATTGCTTTACATTTTTGCTTTTTTAAACTTTTTTATTGCCTACTATCACGTCATTACTTATTTTTCAGGATCAGCTGTGTAGTTCGTCACAAACATTGTTGCGAATTATTTGTCATGGTGGTTATAAGCATGTATTGGGATTGGAAACCTCAAAAAGTGGTCAGTATTGCCATGGCAGCTTTTTCTCTTCAGTCACTGATTTAATGCATGGCAGTTGACATATTTGATCTTATTCAATTTAGAGATTGAGATTTTTAGGACTGGTTACCGATATGACATTCTGGGGTGATGTGGTTGTTACACCATTGGAAGCAGCCTATGTTGACAAAGTAATGGAACCCATGTATGAAGATGAAATTAGTGGTGAGAAATCAGATGAAACAAAGACTGATAGCATGGATACTCAGATCTGAAAATGTTTTATACTTTGCATTTTCTCTAGATACTTTTCATAATAAATGTATAGTTTTTGGAGTATAAGGCATCCAAGATATATCTTTTTTGTTGATGATTCATTTTTAATCTAATAATTTTTTGAATTTTTTCCAAACCCATAACTTTTCAATCGCACCAATAAATTTGAAATTATTATAGAATTTCGAAGTTTGGTACTAATTTTTAACCCAAAATTTTTTTCCCGAATTTTTAAGTTTAATTCAATTTTTTTTTCTTTTAAGGTAATTCTCGAAATCTTTAAATCCGCTCTTTATTTTAATGTTTAATTTTGAACATATATGAATTGTTGTTTGTATGGTTTTATGTTATTGTTCTTATTGCATTGGTTTCATCTGTGTTTCTGTGAATCGTTATGATTTGTGATAGATGATAGATAAGTCTTATAAAAGATTTAAGTAAATGCTTTCTTTTTCGTTTTGCCGAAGTCTAGCGACTACAGTCTTTTTAGATTATCTTGGCATTCCATTCTCAGTTATTTAAGAATGATTTTATGGTTATATATACATTTGATAGTTTTTCACTTGAAAATACGATTTTTTTATTGTTGGATTTTGTTTAAAGAATTATGTATAATTTATAGATAATTAGAGAAGCTGGTATTCCTTAATGAATATCATTTTCTGTAGTACAGGTTTATTGAAATTCGATTTTCCAGGCGTCATGGCGCAGCGCCGTATGTCATCATTGGCCGGTCCTTCTGAACTGATGATACCAAAAGCTCTTGATGTAAATACGATAACTGAAACGCTGAACCAAATGTTTCCTGCACTCCAGCTTGTTCCTGCTGATATCCAGAGACCGACGGTAAGCATTCTCGTCTTGGAGAACCGCATTTCATTGCTAAAAACATGCAGTCTAAACTGGCTGAAGTCTTGCGTTAAAGTTCATTCTTCTATTTTTTGATGCTTCATATTGGAAGGGCTTTCACATTAGAAATATCGTCTACCTTCTTATAAAAGTTTTTGTAATCTAGAAATCCTTTTCCTCTTCTACAGTGAAGTTTTGCCGTCTTGAAACTTATTGATGTTTACCACAATACGGACCAGAAAATTCCATTTCGGATATAGATTGGATTTGAAAAGCTAATTCTTTTTGCTTTTGAATTTAGGCTCCTCATCATTTTTTCTTTCCGAGGATCTTAAAAAATTTAGATACTGGAAATGAAAGATAACTGTTTTATAAATCTGTATAATCCATCTGATTTTTTCACAAAAATTTTGGATCCTCACTGTTTGAATTTCGAATAAGAAATAGAACTTGAGGTATTTAATTGATGTCTTTTTCTTCGTCTCTGCGCGGATTATAATTTGAACGTGTGTTGATATCGTTTGCTTTTTTAGATAGTGTAAAATATTTTATATTCTGCTTTCTCAAAATGACGATGACACTTATATATGCAGTGACTCTGAGCAAAATATTGTAGGGTTTATTTACTCCATTCTGAAAATTGATTTTTCAAACTTTATCTAGTCCACGCTAAATAGGTTGACAGAAGTCCTGAAAACATGAAACTCACTGCGTTCCAAATTCGCTACATTAAGTTTTATCCATAACACGAAAGTTTCATTATGAGTGGTACGTGATTTAGGCTGAAGTGATGTGTACTATATATCAATATATCACCCAATACATCATGGATATTCCGGATGCTGTGTATACGACACCACTGTTTGCAATTAGCAGCTCTACGGATATGGATTTATTCGCTCAGGCATATCCGAAATTAGTTATCTTTCAAGCTTTGTAAGTCATTCAAATGTGATCCTTTATTGTTATTTTATAAAAAAAAAAAAACCTTTCATTATTATTTTCTTATATCATTATGTGTCTCTAAAAATTGCATTGATTACTTGAAATCTATCACATTGGACATAAGCTTGAATCATAAGACAGAAATTACTCCGATAGCTATAATTTAGGATTCTTCAGATGGACGACTTTGTGCAAGATGGAAATCCTTTCCTTATAATTGCTATAAAGCATCTTTTAGTTTGAATTTCATGTGATTTTTACACTCAAAAATATCTGCTTGCTTATTACAAAATTTTACTTTCTTTGCGCTTGATTTTGAAAATCTCTTCAGTTGATTGAATAATTAAGAATATTCCAGGTCTGCCATTGTAGAAGATATTTCATCAAATGAAATCCAGTTCAGTTTTCTCGATTTAGTTGCACCAGAACCTGGGCCAACGCGAATTCTTCTTTCAACTTTGATCAATTTCATCGAATTCATGACAAGTGCTATTGCGGTTAGTGCTGAACTGCTTTATTATTTCAGTAGAAATAAGAAAGCAGCGACAGTAATAAGTTAGTGGAAATATTATCTTTATAGACGACTTTTTTAATTTCATAAATATCTTGAACTCGACTTTTTTAATGGGTCTTCATTTTCATTTATGGCAAACTATCTAAGGAATAACTGATGTTACTGTGTGAGTTCATGCTCTAAACGTAAAGATATGTATTTATTGTTCATGCATTAGAGTAGCATTTCTATTTTTGCTAAATTGATCCTCTATCAAATTCAATTGCCGAAATTGATTGTTCGTGTTGGCTCAAGCTTTCTTTGATTTTTTTCAGTTCAAAAACGGAAGCAATATTGATATTTACCACTAAAATTACTTATAATTTAAGAGCTGATCTTCTTCGAGGCTGTGAAGTTATTGAATATTTCAAATTTTAGAAAGCGCATAGTATATTTAGCAGTGTTGATGGCCGTAAAAGTAAGCTGGAATCAAAAAAACTTCATGCTATTAATCTTGGTAATGAAGTACAACGCTTGCATAACAAAACGACCAATCGGAAACACTTAGAAAATGAGGTGATTGAATTATCTGCTGAATGAAAATAGTCTGTGAGGATATAATCTGAACATATTGCATTCCGAAAATGGTAATATCAAATCGTGCATTCTATTTGGTAGTGTTTCTTTATTATCAGTGCTAGGAAATTAGTTAATAAATTTTTTAGTTCCGTGAAAAAATGGAAATTCTGCAACGTAGTATAAAAGAAACGTATGCTCAAATCAAAGCAATCCAAATGGAGTTAAAAACAGTTTGTGATGATAATATCGAGAAAAGGAAAAAATTGGTGAATTTTTTTAATCGCTAAGGATAGAAACTGATCTGAATAGTAATTTTCATGCTTCGAATTTCATCGGTTTGTACTATGTTCTTTTTTCTTTGGAAGAAATATATTGGAAAATTTTGAAAATTGGAGAAAAATTTAATTTCGAGCAATTTTATAGGTAGAAATGCAAAATGAGAGTAGACACCTGACATTTCAAAACGAGGTTGTTGATCGTGATATTGTTAATTCACCTGATCGTCTGAACGCTGAATTAAGTGAATTAACAAAGTATTTGGAAAACATCCAGAAAGAAATTTCTGCAGAAAGGCTAGTGCATAAATGTTTTGCTTTTGTAATCGCAATAGTGTTATTCATGCAATTGCTTCTAGTTTAAAAAATTTTTTCTTATTCTGATTTACTTCTTTGCGAGTTTTTTTTTGAAAGTTTTTAACCTGATCATAATGAAGATCATAAGTTCCGTTTTACCAAACGTCGATGGTTGCCTTTTGTCAGAATTTTAAATCAGTCGAATAGAAACTATTCGATGTTAAAAAAGAAATCGTAACTAACGGTGATCAAGTTCAGCAATTCAACTAATTGATTTGTTTTGGGCTACAGACGTATATGTACTCGTACCACCATCTATCGCCGCAAAACATTTTACAAGAAGACATTGCTGAAATTTATAGTTAAATGTGTTATGATTTCAGTCATAAGAAATGGGAATATAAAGAGAAAAAAAAAGCTAGAATAATGATTGCTCGATCTATTGAACATGTTACGGAGATTTTGAACAAATCGCGTGAGCGTCAGGTATGATGTTTTTTTTTCGTCCAGATATCTTGTGTTGTGACTTTTTTTGTCTGCACAAGAATGTTCTCTGTTAAAATTTAGACTTCATACCAGTGATATCTTTTCAATTTGTTCAAGACTTTGGGAATAACTTCCAAGAATTGCATTCTTCGCAGCACCGAAGTTAACTGTTTTGATGTTTCAAGATCTTTCAGTGTTTTTATTTTCCATTTCTTACGTGGTTAATATCTTATATAATTTTGATTTAAGATTATTTTTCTCTCAAGAATGGTTTTCTTTAAAGTAATTTCTGTTTAAAAACTGATTTTAAGTCAAAGTGAGCATTTATCTGGACTTGTAGAAAGAAGGTGTAAAACTCGAAGAAGCGATAGTTGGTGCAGAAGAAAAGCGTAATGAAGTGAAAGAAGAATGTACCAATATGGAAGAGAAGTTAACAAAAGAGGAAAATAAGTTGTCTGCAATGGAAAAAGAGCGCGAGAAAGAGGAATCACTTCACGAGAAATCTTTGAAGGACATGAAAGAACATTTGGCGACATTAGATGAGTTCGTTTTCTTTATTTTTCCGTTCTGATTTTACTTTATTCTTATCTTTAGTATCTTTTCCTTTGTCTCATTAATATCTTTAAATTACTTTAAGGAATGGGAAATTTCTTTTTTTTCGCAACTAAAGTTTGTATTAGAATATGTATTCGAATTGAAGAGATTGCTGGCAAACAGAATTTTTTCGTATTGATTTATTTAGTTGAATTATCAATGATTTTACCTCTATTATGGATAAAAGTATAAATCTAGAAATCTTCCTTTACACCAAAGAAATTTAACTTAGAATGGCATTTTGCTCAACATAAAAATAGTTTTTCTGTAGACTTTGTTATGTTACATATTTTTCTGTATTTATTTGGTTTTAAGTACGACATTTTTAGACAAGTGAAATATATTCGCCAGCGAATGCAAAATTTTGATAAAGAAAATGTGGAAGTGCAACGGGAAATTGGGAAAACAAAGAATGAAATTGCAGCATTGAATCGAACAACGAATGCAGACATAATAAATTTGGCTACGCGTCTTAATGAAATCCATAATAAAGTTCATTATTAAATATTTTAATTCCAACTTTTTTCTTGATCTAATTTCCAAGTTTTCAAAAGTTTTAGTTTTCAAATTCCAAATAAATTTTTTTGTTCCAAATTTTTTTTTCGCTTTTCATTTTGGGTTCATAAAATAGCATTAACTACTGTATAAAATTTTTTCAGAAAGACGACTTTGTCTTCTCCTATTCATATATTTAATATATCTTCATAATTTTTTGGAGATAGTGTGGATGATAAGTGAATTTTTAAGCTGAAATTTAAATAGTAGCGTTGTCAAGAAATTATTGTCGAATGAAGAATATTGCAAAGTTAATTTTATTATAGTATTTGGAAGGTGAGAAGCTCTACGAAGAGGATTACAACAGGATGGATAATCTAAGGAACCATCTGATTGCAGTGCTGAATGCATCTGATGTTGACACTACCTTTGATACATCGCTTTTAAATAATGTGTTAATGAATGAAATGTAAACCAGATAAGACAAAAAACCGGAGGAGTCGATTTCTCTGTATGCTAAATTTTTATAATTTTTCCCTTTTATATTTGATCCTATTATTTATGTTAAAATAGTTACGATAAACGAGAAGAGAGAATAGAAGTTTATTTCTCACTGATTTTTCAGTACTTTTGTCATTAAGTTTTAGATAACTCTAAACGCCATACTCTCTGAGCTGCTTGAGTATCTAATTAATTTGCCAAAGTGTCGTTACAAATAACTGATAATCGTCGATAGTTTTGATAATACTCATTCTGTAAAATTTGGTTCTGAAAGCTTAAAAAATAGAGAAAGAAAAAAGTTTTTGGAAAGAATCGAAGGACTCTCCTTGCAATGTATTATGAGTTAGCTTTTTTTGGACTTCGGATTTTATTTATCATCGCAAATGTCGTGCAATGGTTGCCTTTTATTGTTGGTTTTAAAATATGCTAATATTTATCATATTTACCTCCGTTTTTTTGTCTTTTATAGTTCCTTTCCTATATTTATTTCACTTCTATTATTCCGATGACAGTATATGAAATTTAATTAACTGTATTCAGATTTCATATTGATTTTTCGAGAATTTCTGTATTTGGTTTCATGAATTGAGGTATTGAATCCTATGTCACTTATTAGAAATATAAGTAATTGGGAATGTCTTTCTGTTATGAATTAGTAGACGTGCAGAATAAGCCGCTTTCACTTATTTTGATATGATTTATCAAAAGAAAAATTATGAAGCAATTGACATGATATCTGAATTTAATTTTGTTTATGAATCCTTGTGTTTTTTTTAATCACTTATATGCATTCCAAAATGTTAATTCATTAAAGAACTAGTTCCACTATAGTAACCTGTGTTGAAAACATTGAAAAAAAATTATTCCTATCTTAAGCATATATGCAACATAGTTGAATTACTACTTCTTAAATACTACTCCCTGACAAATTTGAAATTGTTAGTACATTAAAGAATCATTGGAAATTTTTTTTCTGCCTCATTTGATGTGTTTTCTTTGCTACCTCGAGCTTTTCAAGACTGCGCGAAATTAAAATTTTTCTGCACACATGGTAATCAAATTGTTTCTTTTATTTAGGTATATTAGTATAACAGTCTTCTTTGAGCAACCAATATACAAAATCAAGTCCTCAAGAAATTGATTTAAATTTATCATTTTCATTCCGATACATATATCGGAATGAAATTGATCAGAACATATATATATGAACTTTCTACTCGAGGAATGAATATTATCAAAATTGTCACGGAATCTTTACTCTCTGCACAATGGATTGCACGATTCTCAATACTTGACAACAATCCAAAGTTTTGGGTAGTTAATGATTATGGTTGAATCCAACAACTATGGTTGTGTATGTCTCAGGAGTTTTTCCATTTTCATCTTATGTTCTTGAATTTGTCTTCCATTCTCGATTGCTTTCGATATTGATGATAAAGTGCTTCGGTTTTTTAAGGAATTCATACACTGATATACCACAAATAGATCCATTAATTGTGTTAAATCTGAATGAACGATGGAACTGTCTGGCGAAAACAAGCGGGACAAAATGTTTGCTTTGAACGGTGGAACATTTACGTTCAATATGTGAAATTTCAGTTTTATTCGAATGACTGTTTACTTGAAAGTAAATCAGAAGATAACTTCTGCTTCCAGTTTTCTTTCTGTGAAATTGGGAGACAGCAGAAGTGAATTCACGAAATCTTAAGATTCCAATCAAAAAAAAAAAAGCAGTTGATTTTGCAATCGATGTGAATTCACACGCTATAATCAGTTTGGTTTCATTTTCAATCGATAATCTGAAATGAGAATTTAGTAAACTTTTTATAATATCTCGTTGGAAAAATAGTGGTGATTTAAAAAATTAAAGCCTTCAAATCTAAATATTTTTCATCAAAAAAGAAATGATTTCGAGATGAACGAATTTTTCATTAAATTTATTGCAGAAAAATAATGTTTAGATTATCCTTTTTTTTTTTTCAAGATGATAAGTGAAACGGAATACATGAATAACGATAATGATTTACATCATTTCTACTATTTTAAGTATCATAAAAATATGGAAGAAACCTGCGGTATCTGACGATTCCATGTGCTCTGATAATTTATGCGATACTTTAAGCTGTCTCTGTCCCGAAAATCGTCCGGTTGTTGGGGTGAATGAAGGATACATGGATGCTCGAATCATGTTTCTGTTAATTCTGCTGCTACTATTCCCTTCCTTAATTAGATCCAGTTTATATCTTGATTGACTGCCTTTTCTTGCCAATGATGGCATTGGCTTGGCAATATAATCGGCCTTCAATGTCTTATTCTTATCAGGCGGAAACTGAAATTTTATCTCCAGTTTGAAATTTGCATTATATGAAGTTATGAAATCACAAAGAAAGATGATATCGTCTATCCAAGAACAAATTTCTTATCGGTTATGAAATTCTAAATAATTTTTCGCGATTCCTGAACTATCGTAGCAGTCTTTAGAAGCTGGTAATCTCCTCACCAATAAAATCAATCAATGGCCTATGTTATACCATGTGCTGATATGACGACTTACCCTGCTGATATAATCGGGATTCCAAATCCATATATAATAAATACTCAATGATGTCGCTGGTAGTGACACAAAAAATATATATCCTATCACTGTACAGAATCGAATCCATCTGAAACTTTTTTATCAGTTACTTAAATCATTTCAGCATTCAAATTTTCTATTTAAAATTGTTTTAACTTCAGTTCATCAGCAACATCCAAATTAGTGTAAATGTGGTAGTGTGGTGAGGTAATTATCGTTTCACATATAGAACATCCCAGTTCAAAGTTCGATTCGATCACGATGCCTCCCAAAAAAGCACCGAATTAGTTCGAACAAGAGGATAATTCGGTCGTTAATAAAAGCGATAGTAAAGATTTGGGCCTTCAATGGGTGAGGTTGAACTGTATTAATAAGCTTTAATCTCAATAAAGTTCCAACATCTCTTTCTTTCTCTCAAAATGACAGTAAAAATGAATTCTAATTAAGTAATTTACAATATGTTATGAAATTTGTTATGAAAATAAAGGATTAACAAAGTATATGGAAATTAAAATATTTCTTGTTTAAATAGTAAAATCGAATGTAAATGAAACATTAAAAAGGAATTTTGATCAAAAAAATTTTGGAAAATAATGCTTCATATTTCGTTTACTACTAACTTTTTACTTTCTCTTTGCGTAAATTTGGCTCGTTTATCAGACGTATACACGGGTTCCTTTATCCGTAATCGAGTCGTTGTAGTTAATGAATTATTCGACATTCTGAACGGTAACTTTCAGATCCCTTCTATTAGCAATAAAATAACAATCAGCTGAACAATTTATATATTGTTGCATTGATTTAATCACAATTTAAATAATCATTCGTTGTTACATCATATACATATGTATAAATAAATTCTTCAGCGAACACTTTACGCAAAACTATTACATGTATTTTATTAAAATATGCTAGTTAATTAATTACCAATTCTATTATCATATATTATCATGCTCATACTTTCCAAAAGCTATGTTGAAAAAACGTGAAATTATAAAAGAAAAAGATGGAAAGGATTGTAATAGAAGTGGAGGTAGTAGTAAGAATGAATGTTGCTCTCATCTCTAATTTATAAGAAATGAAAATGGATGAAAGAGTTGAAGAGGATGAGTGATTCTCGGATCGATAGTTTTGAAGAAGGAGCTAAGTGGATGCTAAAGGAGTGAATGTGCTATAGGATGAGATCAGTAAGCGGAAGGTAATAGTCTGAAAAGAAGTCTTGAGGAAAAAGAAGTGAGGAAAGAACTAGTAAAAATTGTTCAATGATACGGCAAGAGTGTGCCGCTCTTTTTAAATAGAAGAAATACAAACGGAATTATTTTACTATGAAACAAAAAAAGTTATTTGAAAAAAAATTTATGGCATATTTTGAGATAATTTTTTCAAACTTCAAAGTATTGATGATAGCTTAATAAGTGAGTGGACTGATAGAGTATAACGGTTTTATCCGCCAATTATTATCTAATAATCTGCCACTTCATCGGAATGTACTTATTTTCAGGAAAAAAATTTTTAATTGCTATTATTATAATAATATCTTCAAAAAAAAGAGACCAAAAAAAATGAAATGTGAACTTGTTAACTTTTAGAAACTATTATGGAAATTACGTGAGGGAAAAATGAAATCTGAAGTTTGGTTGTTGCAATAACACTTCAGACATTTGCTTTCATTCATATCCTCCGATGTTTGCTTTTTCTTATCCATATGCTTTTTTGTTTTATTCATTTGAAAAATAATTGATTTGTTGAATTTTCCGAATTTCTTTTTATTTGCATTTAAATGTTTAAAACTATGAAAAACTGAAAATGGGAAATTCTCAGTTATTACGAATGATTTTTAAATAAGCAAATTCATCGAATTATCCATTATTAATTATTGAAAATGATTTCAGAGGTGCTCGGTTTGCTGCTTGGCCAAATTTCTGTCCTATCAATGCGGCGTTTCTTTAAGGCTTTGCCAAAGCCATGGATTCATAAATATGTGCATCCGATTATTCTACGATTCCTTCGATGTGATACACCATCGGCTGATATTTTGTACTGTAATAGGTCATAACCTTTCATTTGATTTTTTTTTTCTTGAGAAAGAACAGAAAGAAATTTTTCGATGCTTTTTTCGTGAAGTGAGAGTTAGTAATAAATTATTTGGTTGAGTTTAGCTGAAATTTTCAAAAAAAAAACAATTTAAGTACCGTTGAAAAATCAATTTGAATAATTGATCTTTTTTGTAGCAAACGAAATATTTATTTGACTTCGAAATTTTGTGCTTAAAAATTACAATCTCATAATTTTTCACAGAACCATAAGCATTATTGTAACTTCCGTTCGCAATTTTTACGATCTTAATAAAACTTGTTAGTGCATAAAATATTAACTTATTTAACAAAACAGTACATTTTCCGTTTTCGTTTTAGGGCCAAATCTAGAAAGTCTTTAATTTTTCATCGATTGATTTGTTAGTTATCATTATCAGTTGCTGTTAATATAAATGATTATTAAAGTTTAGGACGCAATCAGAATCAACGTATGTTGCAGTTCCACCTTCAATATGTCAACACTTCCAAAGGTTTCATACGAGAATGAAAATTATCATTGATTCGATCAGCCGAGCGTTACTTAAACTACACAACTATGATAAGCAATTGATAAGATTTGAGGAAACACTTATTGGCTCAGCGATTGCATTGATTATCATTTTCGGTATTCTTCTGACCGTCCTGTTGTGGTTACGACGTTTATCGCATACTTTGCCTAATAGTTCCCCAGAAAATAATGTAAAGTTTGGGTTTCGTTTTTCAAAATTCTTATAATTTAATTTAAAAGTTTATTTTGCTGAAAGCATTCAAGCTATCAGTTTTTTCCGTCAAAAAAATTATAAACGGTTAAAACTTCGAAAAACCCTGTGAAAAGTAAATCTCATTAAATTAAAAGATAAAGTTCAAATAATCGAACAGCAAAACTTTTGCAGAAGAGGAATGAGGAGGAATATAATTGTTGGAAACAAAAGAAAATTTATCGAGAAAGATCGGCATCAGAATCATCCATTACTGCGAAGTTTGCATCAAACATGGTATAATAATTTCAAATTTCATCAATTTTAATGTTATTTTTCTTCCAAAGAATTCCAGGAATAGTTGGAATTTGAAGGATATGAAATGATTCATTGATTTTTGATCGTTAAGTTTTATACTATTATTGTTTGGAAAATTACTTTTTCCTTCTTTCTTTTTTTCCTTTCTTTAGGCTAATTTAGGTGAAGAAGCAAAGAAGTCAACCGAAAAATCACAAAGCAGTTCAATAGTAAGCAAATTATCTTCGAAATCTGAAATTAACTTATCCGTGAACTCAGTTAATCTCAAAATGAAATCAATAGAAAAGGCAATTGCTTGTTTAAACAGATCTCGAATGACCACTTTTAATCAAAATGCATGTTTCTTCTCTTTGTTTCCATTATCGAATTTTAGAAATATATATTCATCCACTTAAAAATTTACATATCAAAAGAAATAATGATGGGAAGTGAACTCACAAGGCGGTAATGAGCAGAAGTAAATGAAAAATAGTGAATAAATTGAAGGAGCAAAGGGAATTTAATGCGGGAACAAACAAAGAGACGGTATTGAACATGCGCTCACGACAGCATCAACAAAGTTGCAATACCGAACTATTCAACAGTGTTGGCAATTATAACGGTTGTCAAATCCGAAGGAGAACTTTTAATGAAGTAAAACGGCAGGTAAATGATTCATTTTTGACTTCAAATTGAAATGTAAAGTGATTGCTTGAAATAATGTAAAAGATAATGTTAAATCAATTTTTGCAAAGTTTTGTAAAATTTTTTGAAAGACATTATTGTTAACACGCAAACTGTCGATTACTTACAGGAAATATAACTTAAATTACTTTATATAAATTCCAGGATATCTCATCAAGCAAGAAATGTTGTGAAAATATTAAGCTAGCAAAGAAAGAGCAAATTAAATCTCGATTCTTGCAGAGATACGTTCCAATTTTCCTGTTCTTCTCCGATGGATCACTCGACAAAGACATTTTTCATTCGTCGGTGAAACTTCATCCAATAAAAACTGCCAAACGAAGGAAGCGCCGTTATAAAAGGATTTTTTAAAACGAAAATAATTGCATAATATTTCGCTAATTTTATTGTTATTTTGCTGCGGATATTTTTCCCGACTAAATGATTAATTATGTAAAAATAAAAATTTATCAGATATAATAAGTTTCAAATCTGAAATTTTTTTTTTGAATCAATATATGAAATTCAATATCTGAAATTACATAACACGTACAGTTATATCGTGTATTTTCACGTGCGTGTGCATCTGACAAATGCATGCTGCTTATCGGCGTTAAGCAAATAAGCGTTACTGTTGCTTTATTTTTATTCATTTATCATTATCTTTTACAAATTTTTTTGATTATTTATTAACCATTCCATCATGGCATTAATTTTAAAACTGTGAAAAATGAAGAGCTTTATGAAAGCTGAAATTGAGTGGATAATATTAACGAGTTGAAGAAATTAGTACCCAATGGAAAACAATGGAATAGTAAGTTTTAGGGATTGGAAACAGTTATGCTTAATTAGTCAGAATGTCAGCACATATCTAAAGTTGAAGAATATATTTGCTATATTTTATTGTTTTTAAAATCAGAAATGAATGTGAAGTTTACATCCACAGGAACATTTTAGTGTTGTATTTAAAGAGGTGATTGTTTAACAAAATATACGAATTACTGAACTTGAAGTTGAAAATTTATGTTTAATATGGTTAATGCGAAGAGAAAGGATTGGCATGCATAAACGGATGAAATTAAATAAGAAATTTTGCGCCCAAAGAAAATGCAAAATTTGTTAGTTGACGTTTTTGAGCAGAAAGTCGCTTCAGCGTGCGTACGTGTGTGTGTGTGTGTGTATGTGTGTATGTGTGTGTGTGAAGTCCCTAAAATGTTACACATCTCATGAAACAATCTTTTTATATTACTTGAAATTTGTCATAACTTTGATCGCTTGGAATAGTGCATGTGTTCAATCATACTGATAAATAAATTTATCAGCTCGGTGAATGTATTGAAACTTAAATATTATAATCAGATTCCTATTAAATCCCAAATAATTTGAATAGCAAAATAATATGTTGTCAGTGTGTGAAATAATTTGTTTAATTTATTCCAAGAATTGAAATTTGAAATTTGCAGAATACAACTAATGAATTTAAAATTTTAGACTGTCAATGTCCGACGCTTAGCATAAAACAAATGTGCTGAATCAAATTAATTAGAACAAATATGCCATTTTAGCATATTTCTAACCAACTTCAAACAAGAAAAAGATAGAATAAACTGTTTCTAACATTTTTTTAAACAAAACTTTGCATATTTGCGCTAATGAAACTTTCATCATTTCGGATGATGGAATTGAGAGAAAACTATAATTTGCATACTGAAAAAAAAACAGTAAATTGACTATTTAAGATGATTTGTTACTTTCTGTTCCTAAAAATAAGATAAGTTATCATAAAAATGTACTTTTAAGAGAAGTTTGAAAATTTCAGAAGAAATTGACAAATCAAAGTTTTTTTTTTTTTTTTTTTTGTTACATTATTCATATAAATTGAATTGAAGATGTGAAATTTGTTTGGTGAACGATCTTCACATTTCTTTAATTTCTTTTTCTAAATACATTAATTTTTTTGGGTGCAGTTCTTTGCCCTAAAGTTATTTTTGCTTCAGTGCTGAAAAAATGCATTTCTTTATTCTTCGTGTTACTTCTGCGCTATACTTTTCCGCCCTCGCAATCGTTGTATGCTTTAAGAGAGTAAATTCTTGTATATGTTTAAGGGAGAACTAATTTATCTGAGATTTAATTTATCCCTTTCACACAGAATCTAACAATAACAATAGATTCTTCAGGAACTGATTGATATAGGGAATCAGTCCATCGTGATTGTGATAAGACAGTTGGTAACAATAATATTGATTTCTTATCGTTATATTACATAATTATTTAAAACACTTTTCAAATAGGCATTATTGGAGAAAAGAAATGAACTGTAAATGAAAAAGAGGAAAGATATTGAAGCGAGGACTGGAATTAATTAGTTAAGGAAGTAAATTATCAGTCTGAAACACAGCAACGAGGCAATTGTGCAAGAATTTCAAAGGTAAATGAAATCAATTTCAGTAAAAAAGAAGTTACGATTGACAGTGCACGGCACGATGATAACGACATTGCTATATCAATCCAAAAAATTAACCAAAATTTGAATTTGGCCAAAATTATCAGCACCTGAAAGTGATGAAATAAACGAGGTGAATTCCAGATCAGGAACTAAAGATTTACTAAAGCCATTAATTATTTAATCGTATTGGAAAGGATTAGTCTCGAGGTAGAAGATCAAGTTATGCTAAGAAAATTTTCGATACTGAGTAAATTCAAATTTTTCCAAAAATTTGAAACCCATAAAAGTTATAAGATAGCGATCTTCTACGCAGGATCAGTGAGAGAATCCGGAATTCGGAATAATGGAAGATGACAATATACAATGGAATAAAATAAGGAATAACTGCAAATCAGTAATCTATTTAAGCAACAGAATTGAGAACAGAATACGGTTAGACTAAATTGAGTAGGACAGAGAATATAGGAAGATTTGAAAAATGAAAAGAATGATTAATAATTTGAATCAATCATATCGAGAAAACATACAACTTAATTATTACTGTTGACAATTCTTCTAGCAAACAAGAATTTCATTTTACTGATGAGATCACTAACTTCTTTTGAAACTAATTAAATTTAACTCATTTCCAAGAGATCGACAAAAATGAGCAAATTATGGAGGATAGTAGAGGATGGCTTCTTCATAAGTAGACAAATTAAATGAATTATTAAATGATGAATATCATGAGGCTTAGGCAAAATGAAGCGGACAATTGCATCGTGTATGAAATATGAAATGGATTGTAGTAATAATGAATGGAACATTTCAATTCGTAAAATTGGAATGCTTAATTCAACGTACTCAAAGCACTTGCTTATTTGCACTTTATCCTCTCTTGATTTTCAGAAATTTTTTATTTGTATAATCCACAAATTTCTTTCATTCCATTTGTTAAGCAAAATTCGTCATCAGTCGAAGAAACTTACAAAGCTGAAGCTTAATCCCATTTGAAACGAATACTTTGTGAATTTGAAATGATCACACGGCGTCAATCTTTCAAAAGTACACTTCTCTCTTTGGATAATGCGTAAAATTGTCGAAATGTTCTTGAATTTAATTATGCCTTTTTTTGCGATGAAATATTTTAGAAAAGATTTGCTGGAATGAATGCTATCATGCATTTTGCTATGCTATATTGTACTACAATACTTTGATTATTTCCTTGGAGTATTCCAATTCTCTATTTTCATTTCAATTTTCTTGGAATATTCCAATTCTTAGGAAAAATCAATCTCCGTAAATAATATGAAAAAATAAAGGAATTGAGGATGAATGGATAATTATTGTTTGTTATATGGAATTTAAATTTTATTCTTTCATGTTGTTTGCAGAATACGATTTAGAATAATGTAATAAATTTGAGAATTATAGGTCATAACTTTCATCTTTTTGTTTACCTTTTCAAGAAATTCGATATAAGACTGCAGAAATTTTGTGATAACAAGAAAAGTTAAAAGTTCTAGAAGTTGCACCTGGCTAGCAAAACTTGATTCAAAATCTATTATCATTTTTTGATGGATAGCTTTTATGTAAATGCTAAATTAAACAAATATTTTGCGTAAATGCCGTGAATGAAACGTACTCCTCAGCTTGCAATTTTTTTTATCTCTAACACGAAATGTAAAATAAAATGAAAAAAAATGTTAATAAATGAACAATCAATTTTTCAACTACAAATACCGCTCCATTTCTCGTGTAACAATGCCACAAAATATTTCATTTAACATTTAATTATTCTCAAAGATATTTAATGTTGTGATTTGTGAAGTGAATTTGTTTTGATTTGGTTCGGAAGAGTTTTGTTGTTATGTGGCACGGTCGAATTGTTGGTGGACGTTTCATCTTTAGGACGTTATAGGGCTAATTGTTCTTCCTTGAGATGGAAATTGATCGTCCTGTTAGATCAGGATCTGATGGATCAGGCTTGGACTCGTTATTTGGGTCTTGACTACGCCAACTGAAGTAGTTAGCGTAGTCACCATATTAGTTTATTGGATCGGATAGATAATAATTAGTTAACGACAGTAAAGTTGAGTTGACTTCGGACAATGCTACCAGAGATAATAACAATGACACAACACTTACAAAAAATAGTAATGGGATGATTTTTTACGAGGCTTATATATTCATTCCAGACAAAGTGAAATATAATCTCTTGAGTCTTAATAATGGCTAGAAGCGTGATATTCTTAAGATAACGTCAACTAAATTGTCAAGATATATAAAAAGGTCAAATAAGTTTCAATTATTGGAGTAAATAGTACAGTTACATAAACATAATTACAATTCGCATGAAGTTTACTGGTAATATGATAAATATCGTGTAACTGTTAAAATAATTTTACATATTTTACTGAGGAATATTTTTCATGAATTAATTTGATAATTTTATATTATGGATTAATTTTTTGACATTTAATAAAATTTGCGAATTAATTAACGATAAATTTTTCACCTTTCAAATCTACTGGTTGACAAAAAAATTTCGTTGCGTGGCAAAATTATTTTCATATATATGGATTTAATTATCTCAATTAATTGTGTGCTCATAGATTGTTTGTTTGATTTAAATGATATTTATAATATATTAAAATTCGAGGTCAACCTCAGCAATCCCGAAATTTATCAAAATCTGGTGGTGATACTTCCTAAGCAAATATCTTTTCAAATATTTCAAAGACAGATGGAGCATAAACAAAAAGTTAGGAATTGAATGTTTTTGCAATACAAAAATAAATTTGCTTGTAAAATTTTTCTACAAAAAACAATTATTTGCTTTTTAATTCAATTTCTCGGCTTTATGAAGCCAATAAATTGAGTTCTTCTTTTGTAATTTCCTCTTTCCACAAATCAACAATTCAGAATAATGTCACCGATTAGAGTG